ACCCGAACAAAAAGGCGTCGGTAATGGTCGCGGCCGATTGGTCGGGCAACGGCCAGGCCATCGGCCAACGGGAGAGGTACTCAACCCCAACCAGCAAATATTTATTACCCCTCGCCGATGGTGGGAAAGGTCCCAAAATGTCCAGTGCCACCAATTCATTAACCCGAGACACCTGAATTGACTGTATAGGCGGCACATAAGGATGTTTAGGTGGCTTACGTCGGGCACAATCAGGGCACGCGCGGACGTGCCCCACGACATCTGTCGCCATGCCGTGCCAAAAGTAATGACTTTGCAACGTCAATAAGGTCTTCTGCACACCCAGATGTAATAGCGTGTCACAATGGAGAGTTCTAATCAACTCGTATCGCAGGGACGCTGGCACAACCAGACGCCAGCGCTCCTGGAGACCTTCCCTCCACATGAGCAGACCATCTCGGAGCGCGGTTTCCGGTACCCCATCCGTACCCGGACTCCCATTCTCCACTTTAGATCGCTTCCGCAAGGACAATAACGACTCATCCATCATCTGCTCCCGAATGCAAACAGACCGCGGCAGATTCAAAACCCCGTCAGTCGGCCCCGGTTCCATAGGAGCATCCGACTTCTCGACAGCTAACGCCAGCGGCTGAGGGGGGGATAGACTGGGCGTACATCTATGCGTCCCCGACGCACATTTGCAAGGGGAGCGCTGCGGCAATCTGGAAAGTGCGTCTGCGTTCGCATTGGCGCACCCCCTTCCGATGGTGAATTTGGAAGGAAAATTCCTGCAGCGTGTCCAACCAACGCGCCAACTGGCTGGATGGCTGATCCATTTTAAGCGCATATTGCAAGGCCGCATGATCCGTACGCACGACAAAGGAACGACCGTAAAGGTACGGTCGAAACTGACGTAGGAAAAAAACAACGGCTAGGAGTTCCCTGCGAGTGACACAGTAGCGGGTTTCCGCGGGAGACAAGACCCGGCTACCATACGCCACGACGCGCTCTACGCCCCCTTTAGACTGGGATAATACCGCGCCAATACCTGTGTCACTCGCGTCCGTATCAAGAATGAATGGGCGATCGAAATCGGGATAATCCAATGTTGGGGCCGTAGCCAACAGATCGCGCAGACTCTGAAAGGCCGCCTCTTCCGGCGGTCCCCACGCAAACTTACGTCCCTTACCCGTAAGGAGGTGCAAGGGCCTCGCGATCGTCGCAAAATTCGGCACAAATCTTCGATAATACGAGGCAAATCCCAAAAACCGACGTACATCCCCCACGGTGGCCGGGGTTGGCCAATCCCGGATGCACGCCGTTTTTTCCGGGTCCGTGGACATCCCCTCAGCACTCACGATGTGCCCCAAATAACGGACGGTCCGTTGCAGTAGGTGACATTTCTTTGGTTTGAATTTCAAATTCGCGGAGCGCATCCTCGTGAACACCGTCTCCAGCCGCCTTAAATGTTCATCAAATGTGCGGCTGAAGACAATAATATCGTCCAAATATATGAGACATGTCTCCCACTGCAACCCCGTCAACACGAGCTCCATCAGCCTTTGAAATGTGGCAGGGGCCGCATTCAGCCCCATCGGAAGGCAGTTGAATTGAAACAACCCCTGCGGCGTACGGAATGCGGTTTTCTCCCGTGAGGGCTCGTCAAGGGGAAGCTGCCAAAATCCCGAAGAGAGGTCCAGTGTAGAAAAGAACTTCGCCCCCGATAATGCATCGAGGGAGTCGTCCATACGCGGCAGGGGATACGCATCTGCCACCGATATCTTATTCAATTTGCGAAAATCAACACAAAATCGCAATGTGCCATCCTTTTTCTTAACCAAAACCACAGGCGCGCCCCATGGGCTGTTAGATGGCGATATAATGTCCGCAGCCAACATGTCTTCCACTGCCCCCCGAACGTGTTCCCGCTCGGCGGGACTCATTCGGTGCGAATTCAACCGAATAGGGGCAGCGTCGCCTGTATCAATATGATGGGAAAGCAACGAGGTGCGTCCCAAATCCAAATCATTGGAGCTGAACACATCCGAATACGTCAATAACAATTTGTGAAGCGCACCACGTTGATCCACGGACAGGGAAGAATTTCCGTCACATAAGTTAGCAATCCAGCGATCATCTGAAGCCACAGGCTCAGAAACACCAGCAACCACCCCCTGGCTATGCGAACAATCCTGAGCCGTAAATGCCGTCGTGGCATGTGCCACAACCGTACCAGCCGGGACGCAGACGTTTTCTGCACCCGCATTGAGCACCTGTAAAAACGGTAATTGATCTGGCCGGACGATGGTCTGTGCCCCAACCAGCGCCAATCCGGCCGTTATCGAGGCTGACGGAGACAACAAAACCCCAACCGCTCCTAGCCGATCAGGCAGGGGCTTCCGATACCGCAAGGGAATAAGCATCTGTGAGCCAGGTGGGATGTCAACAGATGCCACGGACAGCGCCTGCACTTGTGCGGCTGAAGCAGGTCGCCCCCAGGGCGACGGCAGAAACGAGATTAGACGGCCACCCGGCAGTTCAATACAATTCTCATTAATTTTGATCAAAATAGGCATCTTAGCCAGGAAATCAGTGCCCAATAAACAAGGAACTGCCAAGGACCTTGAAATCAACACAATGCCCGAGGCCGACACCTCCCCAATAGATATTTTAGCGTCCACCTGGCCCACGATGCCCATGCTACCCCCGTTCGCAGCGACGCACGACCCGTAAACCGGACGCACGGCCCCGGGTGGGATGCCCAACAGATGGAAAATGACATCCGAAATAATAGTCGCGGACGCCCCGGAATCGACCAAAATGCGCACGTCCACCCCTTGTATAGACCCCGGTACAGTGGACGAACCCGTAGCGGCCGCGACAACCCTCCGTGCCAACTTGCGCCACTGCGTCACCGAGCGACAAGGCCCCGTCGATGGCCTCTCCTCAACAACAACATTTGGATCGCGCAACGAAGGTGATGGGTGAGGTGCAAAGCCTTGCCGGGTGTCTGGTGCGTGCCGACTTGCCTGTTTCGGAGGTTCCTTGGTCGGCTTGTCCGTTGATGAGGCCTCCTGTTGCGGCGGACCCGGGATGCGGGCCCAGCAGTCCTTTGCGTAGTGGCCCCTCCGCCCGCAGCGGAAGTATTCGACGTCGTTGCGCCGAAGCGCAGGCCTTGCATCCTGCCGGCCCCGTACCGGTGGTGCAGCGCGCGGGCCCGGCCCACCGCGTCCCGACCATGGACCGGAGGCGGCCGTCAGCTCCTGAGGGCCCCCCCCATCCGGCACGTAGACTGCCTTCGTAGGGTCCCAACCCAGAGCGCCACCCTCTGCGACGGGCCCCCCCGTCCACGCCGCGACTTGTTTCCACCGTCGGAGGTTGAATTGTGCATCCAGACATTTTGCCGCCGCCCGGGAAGTGAGCTTCTCATGCCCACACACAGGCATGGGAATCCCAAGATCCCGAGACAGCTCGAGCATCTTGCCCAAGATGAGAGGCTCGAGCAGGTCAGGTGTTGTCTCTGGATATGCGGCCATAGCCAAATCAAGCACCGCACCCCTGTATGCAACGGGCGATTCCTCGGGCGCTCGTTGTCGTTGAGCAAATCGCCGATGCGCATCGTCAGGTGGCTCGTAGGCGTCGGCCATTTCTTCAAAAACTCCATATAATGTCTTCTTCTTTTCGGCCTTTATGGAACGAAAAAATCTAACTGATTCGTCGTCCAGAAGAGTCGGCAACACTTCTAAGGCCTCAGCATCGGTCCACCTCGCAAAACGGACCGCCGCCAAGAATCTGCAGGCGAAAGCGCTCCAATCGCCCCCGATGGCGAATTCCTTGACTGTGGTAAGATGGCGACTCCGACTTCTCTTTACTCCGCCCTCCACCGATGGCTCCTCCGGTGGTAAGTTCAAAATGGCGTCGAACCGCGGCGTGGTCAAGATGGCGGTTTCCCGCCGCGGAACGCGCAAGATGGCGGCCTCCTGCCGCGTGGCCGATGGCGTCGGAAGCGAAGATAATGTGGCGGCCTGTGGAGCACTCTCTGCTCTCACCGTCGCCGTCCTTGGCGTGACGAGATGACTCAACTGCGCCAGGACGTCCTTGAGAGTCTCCAGTTGCTCCGCCATCTGCTGCCATCGCGGATCAGCGTCCGATGTTTTTGGCGGGCCCGACACCGCAGCGACATCTTCAACTCCAGTCCCCGCGCTCGTTTCAGCAGGGCTCTCCTCCACCACCCCAGCAGAATCCATGGTTAGAGGGAAGTCGTCGTCGTCGGACGAAGAAGCCGATGCTGGCGCCGGAATAATTTTCTTTCTTACTTGCTTCGACATGCCGTTGCACTTCCGACACCAATGTAATAAAAGACTCGACCACGATGTCTGGCTTGGTGTCCTTTATTCGGTTCGTTGCTGTCTCCCACACGGCTGTCCTCCTTTGAGACTTTCCACACGGTGCCGACGCTGTTGTTACACCCGTCACCGCTAACAGCTCCGCTGTTGGTCTCCGTCGTTCCCGTAGCCTCTTAGCAGCCTCGCTGCTGTTACCCTCACGCAGCCCCCCTGGCTGTACTCGCTGCAGCTCCTCCTCGTGTCGCTCCCGTAGCCTCGGGACAGCCTCGCGGCTGTTTCCCTGTCGCTCCCGTAGCTCCTAGCAGCCTTGCTGCTGTCTCCCATACACAGCCTCCCTGGCTGTACTCGCTGCAGCTCCTCAACCGCTCTCTCTCTCCAGCAGCCCCACTGCTGTCTCCTCCCGCAGCTCCGCTGGCTGCTCCCTTAGTTGGTCACCGCTGGCTGACGGCGCCACTCTTCCCTGGCTTCGCCCTGCGTGGCCTTACCCTTGCTCAGTCTCCCACTCTCTCCCGTCTCCTTCCGGTTTCATCCCTTAAGGACCCGAACCTTGCTCCCACGTCACATAACTCCACCTCTCCGTGACGTCACATCCGGGAGGTCGCTCGCGCCCGCATTACACATTGACTAAATCAAATGGCCATGTTTGGTAAGGGCTGTGTCTCTTTGTGCGCTCAGGAGCCTCCGGAGCGTCGTAGAGAAAACCCCCACAAGTACCTGCTGTACAAGCCCACCTTCAGCCAGCTCTACACGTTTGTGGCCACCGCCTTCAGGGTGCGTCGGTGTGTGTGTGTGTGTTAGCTGCCCTGTGGCACAGCTCCGAGACAGCCAGCAGTTCTGATGTATGTGTACGTATATGTGCTCCCAAGATAAAATTTTATGCTCACACCATTAGCCACACGTGTTGCATGGGCAGTGGTGGTGGCGGCGTGGTGTTTACTGCTGTATTGTGCCACGCGTGGCTTGTGTTGATGCACACCAGTGGTGGTTGGTAAGTGGCGGCGCTCTCCGAGGGACGTGTGTTTGTGGTTTGCATGTGGCCGTGCTGTCTGCTTATGCGTTGCAGGAGTTGCCGCCTGACTCGGCGCTGCTGCTCTATCTCTCGGCATCTGGAGTGTTCCCTCCTTCCGACTGCAAAGAGCGAGGTAATGCTCTCCGATGAACAGCGCAGCACTCGGTCTCTACATTTCTCCATTGTGAGGAGTAATCTCTAAAAAAAACTTTTTTACCGCTTACCACGTAACTGCATGTAATTGTTGTATGTTGAACCTCTTTCGCACCGTATGTAGCCAACCGTGCTATAGGAGGTGTTGGTGAAGGACAACAAACTAAACACAAAAAACAGCTCTAAATAAAGAATTTTTAAATCTTGCTGATAGGGAGTCTGAGGCATTATCCTTTTGTGGTCTTCCCAAATCCCTTTTGTATGGCCTCCCCGATTCTCTTTATCGTACAAAACACCTCTGTCAGACTTTTCACCACTCCTGTAAAAGGAGACCACATCACCCACTCGGATGCCTTTACTTTACTCTCGTCATTCTGAGATCATTGTCAGGATCAGCTCAATGTTCTCAAATCCATCGTCGACTTGGCCACACACCTGCCTTTCTCTTCTCATCTCCAGCCGCTCACTTGTTCATTTTCTCGGCTCTACCAACCAAGGCCATCTTCCTGAACCTTCACGCAACCTCTATACAGTTGGAGGTCACTCCCTTTCTGCCAGTGCCACCAACATCTGCGTCTGGGACTCTTTCCTTATGATGGTTAACGCTGGTAGTTCCTTCCACTTGTCCTGTACTTCATTCTTATCTTTCATTCGCTCCTAGATTAGTTTTCTCCAAACCCCAACCTGTTTCAGTGTCCACCCCTCTGGGCGTCCCAACGTGCTTCTGTATCGATATACTTCATGCGTACAAAAAGCATTCCTGTTAAAAGCAGCGGCCGTAGCCTGCGCCGTGGGAGCCGTTCCTGTAACACCGTGCGCATGTCGCCTGTCCCCGCCCAGGGCCGTACGAGCAGGGAGGCGTGATGACATACACGCGGCGCGACATCGCAGCGCCAGACCCGGCCACGCCTGCGGCGGCGCACACCCCACTGCTACGCCACATCCACTGGTGCCCACCGCGGATTCATGCCCATGCATTTAGCCGCTGTCCCAGCGTGCTTTGTCCGTAACTTTCCCAGCACCAAACTGGGATTGCTTTGCTGAAGTAAAAAATGCTTGTATTTAAGTACTCCTTGTCAACTTTCATGACTACCTCACACGTATATTTCGTGACCTGAGGATGCTTGACACAGTTCCAAGCGAAATGTCGTATCTCTTGGCTAAATTTGATTGTGAGATTTGTTCTTCAGCTCACCGGTGAGCTGAAACAATAATCGCTCGTGCACGTGACAGTTTAATTTGACAGTTTTGGGTGGTGGAGGGATTCCCAAAGAAAAAAAATCTAGATCACGACATGGCATAACCTAAACCTCGATTATGAATTATTCCTTGCCTATATTTGATGATGGTGATGTGGAGGCCTGGCCTGCCATGTGACCATTTGATTTCACCTTCATGTCAATGGCTTTGTCCATTGTGGTGAGTTCTGTAATCAGCGCGGAAACATTTCCCTGTAGACAACAATAACCCTCAGTTGTTATAAGTTTCTCTGTAATGCAATCTCCAATACTCTTTCTTTCTTTCGGTAAAGTAACGTAGGTATAAAATAAAATAAATCACGACGTTTCGGGCGCCTGATGATGGACGCTTGTGTTGCGCCCGAAACGTCGTGATTTATTTTATTTTATACCTACGTGACTTTACCGAAAGAACCAAAGAGTATGGATTCCTGCAGTCACGAAAGCTTCAAAGAAATCTCCAATACTTTGCTGCCACCATTGACTCTGATAACGTCATAGTTAAACTCTTGATAATTAAAATATGGAAATTTAAAAACAAAATCAAACAAAATCCGCTTTTTATTTAAATCTTCTCAAAAGGAACAATCTTCACTATATTAAGAACATATTCCTCTGCAGTCTGTCATTGGAAATACTTTAAAATATTACCAAAACTGTATGAATGCGAGTGTAAAAGCAATGTCTTTTTTGCACTGATTCTAGATTTTTAAAGATCTATTTGAATTTTGTGTTTTTTCTTTCAATCGTGTGAGTTTTTCAGCATGGTTTTGTTTTCTACTCTCAGTTATGATTATCTGTGTGTGCGTATACATTGCTCATAGCTAATGAAGTGTAATTGCAGCTCCCAGAATCTAACAGCTATACATGGATGTAAATTGAACTTTTTTCGCACTATATGTAGCCAACCATGCTCATCGCAGGTGCAGGGGAAGGACAACAAACTAAACACAAAAACAGTTATAAGGAAATTAGTTTTAAATTTAGAGTTGAAATAGACTTTTAAAAAATTTTGAGTTAAAACTCTAGTTGCGGGATGACAACTTATCCCTTCAGCATGAATAAAATTCGTACTACTTTGTGAGAATTTAAACATTGGTGAGCCGCTCGCTACCTCTTCATGGAAATGTGGAATTTGCATTACTGACTGAGGGCTGCTGAGAAAGATGGACACCATCTCATGCTCACTTAAGCAGACAGATGCTCAGGCATCTTACGCGTCATTTTTGGATCGCGAAAATGTATTTATAGGGTAATGCAGACAACAATGTAAACTACAGCGTTATTACATGGTGGACATTGCCTGTATATTTGGAGTTTGCATATTCTCCCCGTGGTTGCGTGGATTTTTCTCTGGGTCCTCTGGTTTTTCTCTCCACAATTATAAACTTGCATTTGAAGTATTTAGCTACTATAAATGTCCACATGATGAGCCACTATTTTGAGCTATGATTTGTGGCCAGGTCGCTTCTGAAAAAGAGCTATCAGCTCAGTGGGCCTTACCTGGTAAAATAAAAAAGTGTATAGTTCACTAGTTTTAGTTTATCTTCCAAGTTTCGCTATGAGGCCCGTATTCGTTCATCAGCAGCTGCCCGGGTTCACTGCTGTCGTTTCCCCTCCGCGGAAGCATCACGCTACAGGAAATGGAACCGTTGCACACAGTGGCGGTGCTCGTGTTGGATGTTGTGGGCAGTGCCAGTGCAGCGTGCCCACCTTGCGACCGTCGCCGAAGTCGCCCGCTAGGCGCCGACGCTGGTGTTGTGTGTTTCGCGCCGTGGCGCTGAGTGCAGCCTGCACCCCGGTGACCTCCTCCCCTTCACCCGAAAGCCGCTCGTCGTCGTCGTCGACTCGCCCAGCAGCTCAGCCTACAAGGTGTCCACGTGGAGCCCTCACGGTCGCCATGAGTGATGAGCCAGCCCTCATCGATTCACCCCAGTTACACGTTCAGGCACCTCCCTATTGCTCTTCTATTGCGACTATTACCATGGTTACTGTTTCCGTGAACTTCACTCATGGCTTTCTCTACCCACGTTGAGGACTCGGTTTACCAGACTGACTGTTTTGTCCACAACACCGCACTCCGGGTCACCTCACTTTCATTTTCCCTCCATCCCTTGCACTGCTCCACTTAGAAATTCCCTCCCATCGTCTCTTTCCCAAAGCTCATATAATAGCCCAGCTCAATTAAATAAACGTGTCAACTCTTATTTATTACAACTTGTCTAGTTTTGGGCCTGTGTTCATCAACTAAAAAGAACGAGTGTCATTGGCATTTCTCTACCAGCCATGTCAGACTCATCTGTGGAATCACATTAGTCACAGCCTTCACGATCACTCTCATCTCTATGTTCAGTGTAGTGGTTTTGTTAGCTGTGGTGCTGGCAACCCCACCCCTCGTGCTCAGAACCGGCCTTAATGGGTGCTCTCTAACAACTCTTGTCTAAAAAGTCGATGAAGGCTGTATTGTATTGCTGCATGCAAGCCAGTGTGTTTAGCCGCAGAGCAGCTGAACCGTATGGTTGACTTTGAGACACATTCCATGTGTGTGCGTGTGTGTAAGGTGTGTGCATAGGCACTCGCTATCAGCACTTGCTCTAAAAGTCTGTTAAGGCTATACGGGGGATTTTTGCAGGTTACTTGGGGTTGTGGTAGTACAGCGGTTAGCGAGCCGCGCTACAAACCTCGTGACAACAGTAACGATTATCTGAACTGGTCCCGGGTTTCCCCTAGGTCGACGCAGCCTCAAATGAGTACCTGGTGTGATCTGTAAACGTTGCCAGGAAGGACACAAAAGCAGCTGGGCGTGGTGCTGGCCACCCACCCCCTCGTGTGCCATTCCGGCCATCATAGACACTAACAGCACTTGCCCTAACAGTCTGTTAAGGCTATACGGGGAATCTTTGTCTTTGTAGGGCGTGTACAGTCCATTTGGCGTTCCCCTGCTGTGCCTGCTGTCCCCCACATCGTGCCCCAAGCACCTCACAGGTGACCACGCTTGGCAACGTCGTCACGGCGACGCACTCTGCGCAGCATGCACGCACAACCCACACGTGCTTGTTCCGCAGGTATCGAACTTCACGTGTGTTGAAGTTGTTTGTTTAATCTTGTGCCTATGGCCACATGACTCAATTTGCACCCGACCTCAGATTTTGGAAGCTAAACTTAAACTGTTAAACTATAAACTTATTGTTTTCCCAGGTAAAGCCCACTGAGCTATGTAGCTCTTTTTCAAAAGCAACGTGGCCACAACTTATAGCTCAACAAAGTGGCTTATCATGTGGAAATGTATAGCAGCCAAATACTCGAAATGCTAAACAGGGTTATGCCGATTCGTACTTGGATGGGTGACCACCATACACAACGGGTTGCTATAGGCTGCTGCGGGGCAGTGCAGTAAAATTCATGGTTGGACTGTATTATGCTACCACGTCTATGCTTTCTTTATTTATATATGCCTGCTTAGTACAAAAAAACTATAATTGTTACCACATTGTGGGGAAGTCAACAGTCGTCCTTTTGGAGACTCACCCCTGCCATGGGAAGTGGGAATTGATATCACTACCAATGCCTCAATGCTCATTTGAGAATATCACTTAAATATAACATTACGTTCGTACAGTGCATGGATGTGTGTGTGCGCAAAGGTGCTTGCGAACAGCACTTGCCCCAACAGTCTGTTAAGGCTATACGGGGGATCTTTCCCTTTGTACGAACCCGGCGACCCAAGTTCGATTCCCGCTCACAGTGATGAGGTCCTGGGCTTCCCCTAGGTCGACTCGGTCTCAAATGTTGTGATGTGTGAACGTCGCCACTTGGGAGATGAAGGCGGCCGGGCATGGCACTGCCACCCACCCCCTCGTGTGCTGTGCCGCTAACAGCATTTTCCCCAACAGTTTGTGAAGGCTATACAAGGGGTCTTTGTAACCAAGCGTTCGTATTTGTTGCTGTGGCTGTATGTGCCTGCCTGTATTTACGCACGCATGCACACACATGCAGGCTCTGGTGGCGGTGGGCTGTTGACTCTTTTCCTGGCGTGCCCTGTGGCGGGCTTCGCCTGCTTGTGCGGCATCGGGGGGCCCTTGCCCGCATCACTCGTCGCCACATGCTGCGAGCGGGTGCAGCAGGGCGAGGTGGAGGCGCTGGCGCTTCTGGGGGCGTCTCAGCCAGGTAGGGCATCCGGAGCTCTCGCTGGGAACCTTTGCGCTTTGCTCATACGCGCGTGGACCATGCGCAGGACGAAACCGTTCAAGTGCATTTTGCGTAACCATGTGGGGTGCCGCAGTGGCGAGATGTTAATTCCCTCACCTGGTATACAAAAAGAGGTGAAGGGTTTGATACTGACACTGACACCTGTATATCTGGAGTTTGCATGTTCTCCCCGTGATCGTGTGGATTTTTTTCTGGGTCTTCCGGTCTTCACCTCCACATTTACAATCAACGTGCAATTAGAGTATTTGGCAATCATACATTTTCACATGATATAAGACACTACGTTGAGCTCAGCGGGCCTTACCTGGTAAAATAAATAATAGTTTTAGATCACAGTGAGTACTAAAGCCCCACATTTTTTGAACAGGCCAAACGATGAGCATAATGCTAACGATGATGGAGGCATGTAACAAAATGGGGGAGGCAGCTTTTACGTGGAATAAACTGGAATAGAGGTTGCATATTTACGAAATAATTAATGTCTAGTTTCTACAGCTATTAATATTTACTTGCTTTTTGTGTTCAGTTTGTTGTCCTTCCCCCGCACCTCTGATTAGCACAGTTGGCTACATACGGTGCGAAAGAACTTCAACACATAGCTTACATAGATTACTAATGATATTTCCTGGCAACAGTCGCAGCTAAAATATACAAGCGCGAATGACATTTAAATACATTTACAGCTTCTAAGAAATGCACTAACTGTACATTTTCACGTGGTTGTTATCTGCTTCTATGCATTGCAAGGAATGTGTTTCTGCTGTTTAAGGTATCTGCACATTCCCAGAGATGCACATTCTTTGAGCTGGGTTGTCGAAGCCCCTGGTGTAATGTCTCCATCAGGAAAGTGAACCGTGTTGACGTGTATTTTTGCAAATGTTAAAGCCCTGGTGTATGAACTCTGCTTGGCTAGTTTCTGCGCAGGTGTTTAAAAAAAAAGTTAATAGAGCTTGAGTCAACCAGATGGTCTCATTTGCTAGAGTCACCTGCGTCACCAAATTGACAATAGTAACAGAATTGACAGAAAACGTCAATTTCAGCTAAAATGAGATTGAGTTGAAGCATCGATTGGTGGTGGCCATCCCGACGAGAAATGCATATGAAGCGGGGTACTTGTGTGTTGCGTATGTCCGCGCTAGAGCCCTCCTGGCTGCCCTTCCTGGGGGACGTGTTTATCCGCCGCCTGGTGGCTCGGTTCATCCTGATGTCGTGCGCCATGCGCGCACATCGCCAACTCCGGGTAAAGCATGCACGGAACACGCATCATAACACAGCGTACGTGGCACACACAGCACAAGCATCACAACAATGCATGCGTGGCACACACGGCACATGCATCATAACACAGCGGCACACGCGGCGTGTGCCCGGCATGGCACGCTGCATGCAGGCCTGTGCATCACGCTTGCTCTTACCACGAACGTTTATCGTGCCGCTTGGTCTGTGTGCCCCAGGCGTTGGGCTCGTTTCCTGAGTCGCGGCCTCCCCTTCCCACGGAGGATCTTCTCTCGAATCCGCGTCTGCTGGCGCTCGTGCGGGAGCTGGCCACCTCGCTGGACGCGCGACCCGCGTTCGTATGAGCGGCTGCGTTGATGACCACGCACGCCACAATCGCCATCACCCTGCCACCGTTGCGAACGTAGCCGTGTGTGAAACTTTACGTCGGTAAATTCTCCTAAACATCTTCACGGAAAAGCAATAATTGTAGCGACCAGGTTTTAATATTATCTGATAAAACTTGATAAGAATATTACCGTGATGAGCAAAACAGATTTTTAGAATGGGTTAAATATTTTTTAAACATCTAAGAAGGCAAACAAAAGTGGAACGTATACTTTCTATTCGTACGTCATTTTTACCGTAAGCACACCAGGAGTGATGGAACATGGATCACCGAACGACTGAGAAGCGCGTTGTTTATGCACACACAGAGAGAATTGTTCCAAACAGATTTTATGGTATAAAAATTATTACAGGAGCACCAATTTTTTTATATAACGAATTACATAAAATATTACCCGTATTGAGAACAAAAGCACTTGCTATCACAACATGTTAGGACTTATTTAAAATATAAACACAACCTTTAATAGGTAGAAATCACACGGTTGAACATTTCCAAACGTTAACATCTGAAAATCACTAATCCCCCACACATTTTGCATGCTGTCTACCATTTGTTTAAATCACGCTTCATGAGCACAGGCCCAATAGCCTAACAAGTCAAGCAGCCAGCAGCAAAGAGCACTCTCACATTTCTAAATAAGTTAAGAGTATATGAAATCTTGGGAATTCAAGTACTTTAGTTAGGAATATAGTTGATATAAATGCCCAGGGCTGATTATATTTTGGACTTAATTATGAATGTACCATTTAAGTTACCAATTTTTTTTTTCTGATCGGTGTACATGATAATAAGGTTGTCTATGGTAGAGAATGTTGAAGAGAGGGCAAGTGTACTTTTTACACATGTGAGTGAATTGTCCACTCGTGTCTTCAATTACAACACAACTCTTACCCTAGTTTGTTTTGTATAGCATCCTCACACATAGTTGATCCTGCTCTATGGACTGGCTTGTGAAATATTCGCCTGTCACGGTTGATTATGACCAAAAGCTAGCAGATGGCACTGCGAGTCTGTAACCACTCGCGACCGATCTCCGTGGGCCGGAAGCATCGCGCGTGCGTTCCGGGATCATCCACATGGCTGGGAATATCACGTCCCCACACGGCTCCGTGCGCCAGCCCTTGACCCTCCCCACACCCTCTGTGGCCAGAGGCTGACAACATTTAGCATAGGCACAGATTAGGTTAGATTTTTTTAAGTGAGCTGTGTGTTTGTAATTATCCGACGGCATTTTTTTTACGTTGAGCAGAGCTGAGAAGATGAACTGAACGAGAAACGTCACCAAGCACGCGCCCCATTTCCGTGCCGACCCCGCGATGTGACGACCCCGCGACGTGACGACTAGACTCGAAGTCGGCTCACGTGTAGGGCTGCTTTCTGCCTGGGTTTGACCCGGGCACTCCGGCAACCGGCATCTGTGTTCGCGTGGCAGAAATTTATTTGTACCAAGATCTCAGTAGCGGCACTGTGTTGAACCTTATTTCAGTTTTGCTGGACAGTTTTTGATGATAGACTGAGGCTGACTGAGAGATGTTGCCTGAGTTTGGTCTGCAGTGGAAAAGGTGGCGAAACCCCACTCGTGTGTAAGTGGCTCGGTGTGAGCACGTGCTCGCGAGTTCACTTGCAGTCATGGCCCGAGGCCTCTTGGTGGCTCGGCCCGGCAGGGTGCTGTGGGACACCGGGCTGAGCCGGCGAACCTGGCTCCAACAACTGAGCCGGCACATTTCCCATTGGACAACCAGATAGAGCGGTGAGTATCGTGTCCAATGATAGGAACATCACAAGGTGTACGGTTAGAGTCTAAACATGGGAGGCTGGGTTTTGTTATCCAAGCCATTCTGTGTACTTTGGGGAGTACAATGATGAAGTTGAAGGGAATTAAACTTAGCCACTTTACAAGCATGGACTTAATGTAATCTATGCCGCACATTAACCTACAGCATAAACTTATATAGTTTTTTTTAATGTTGCAATATATTTGTGTTTTACAAACAACCTATATTTGAGGGCTGCACCTGTACCTTGTTTTACGTTTATGTATTTAAACTCATCCCGGAGCCTCCTGTTTACAATGCAGCCGTCCTTAACAGTGGCACGTTTTGTTTTTCTATGGCCTCGACTCGAATCCCTTGATTCTACAACCAAGGCAAGATGTAGGGGGACCCAGGCCACGGGCGGCCGCCAGCCTCGGAACAGTCCCACCAGTCCCACGCTGAGCCCTCGGTCCCGAGTGTGCAGGTTATAAAGTAAATAATCAGACAAACCTCTTCCGTTACATATGAGACCCCTCCACATAACAAGTAACTTTTTGTTTTTACACAGCGCATAATTTCAGCAGTACAGCTTCAACACAAGAAAGCTCTTGACCGTTTTCTTGGTTCTTTCGGTAAAGTCACGTAGAATGGAAATAACAAAATAATAAAAATAAAACATAATTAAATCATTCTCACGACGTTTCGGCCACAACGCAAGCAGCCGTCCTCAGGTGGAGAACAGGTCTGTCAAGAAGACAGATTCTGAATGATACACCCCAGGCTTGGAGCGACTATTTAAGCTGGGATGGAGGGGCGAAGAGCGCCTTGACAAAGTATTTTGCATATCAAGAGGAATTTAGCATATTTATGGGAAATGCAGATATGCGATTAGTACTACTTGTGAAATGCATAGGAGGTTTGGCGGGGGGTTTAAAGTCATTATGCCCGTGCATTATGCAGGATTAGCAGCATCAAAGGGAGGGGATAGTGGTAACATTAATAAAGGGAAGGAATGTTAATAGTATGTAGCTGCAGTAATTAAACCACCACGTAAACAACTAAAGTATAAACTACATAGTATCATCAGTATACAAAATATACTCTCCAATAAGCTGAGCTACTAACAGTAAGTAATACATTACAATTCTATGTCGCAAAAAATATAATATGCTTCCAGCTTAACTTTATTCTCTTACATCATACGAGTCTACACCGTACTATATACTGCCATAGACAAACCCAAATTTAAATTATATACTGTATTACTATATACATTGTAATATTACACTATGTATTATTCTACCCACCCTAATGTATATCACACTGCTGTATATTCACTATACAATTACGATACTATATACATGTATTACTTTGTACATTGTATTAAACATTACAATTTTATACTATTTATTATACAATCCGCTATACACTGTACCATTGACCGTCGCGTGAAAGATACTTCTTAGTATCTTCTTGGAAGCAACAAAATATATTTGCGAATTAGAATTGTAATGTATTACCTACTGTTAGTAGTTCAGCTTATTGGAGAGTATATTTAGTATACTGATGATACTATGTAGTTTATACTTTAGTTGTTTACGTGGTGGTTTAATTACTGCAGCTGCATACTATTAACATTCCTTCCCTTTATTAATGTTACCCCTATCCCCTCCCTTTGATGCTGCTAATCCTGCATAATGCACGGGCATAATGACTTTAAACCCCCCGCCAAACCTCCTATGCATTTCACAAGTAGTACTAATCGCATATCTGCATTTCCCATAAATATGCTAAATTCCTCTTGATATGCAAATTATTTTGTCAAGGCGCTCTTCGCCCCTCCATCCCAGCTTAAATAGTCGCTCCAAGCCTGGGGTGTATCATTCAGAATCTGTCTTCTTGACAGACCTGTTCTCCACCTGAGGACGGCTGCTTGCGTTGTGGCCGAAACGTCGTGAGAATTATTTTACTGGTAGGAACGAAGTGGACCAGCCTACAATAGATTATATCGTCCGTCCGTCCGACCGTCCGTCCGACCGTGTAGCAACATCGCCCCCTACTGCAAACACTTGGCATGACCCTACAAAAACCTTTAGACTCAGTGACGCTTTCCTGGCTAAACAAGTGTAACATTCCCTTATAATTCCCTCAGATTGCTTTTAATTAAAACATTTAAATTAATGAGGCTTTCCTGGCTAAACAAGTGTAACATTCCCTTATAATTCCCTGATATAGCTTTTAATTAAAACTTTTAAATTCAAATTTTACTCACAGCACCCTAAAGCCTACAGCTAGGCCTAAAGCCTCGAACTACGCCTATCACTCTCCCTTTGTATCGTACCCCCGCGTGTGTGCAAGGGAGTTAATGTTTAACAATGTTACATTCCCTGATGCTTTTAAATAGAAACATTTAAATTTAAAGCTTTTACATAAATAAAAACATTTAATTTTCAAATTAACTCACGGCGGCCTAAAGCCTACAGCTAGGCCTAAAGCCTAGAACTAGGCCTCAACCTCTCCCTTCGTATCGTACCCCCGCGTGTGTGAAAGGGAGTTAATGTTTTACAATGTTACATTCCCTGATGTTTTTAAATAGAAACATTTACATTTAAAGCTTTTACATAAATAATTCAAACATTTAAATTAAAAATTAACTCACAGTGGCCTAACGCCTACAGCTAGGCCTCAAGCCTAGAACTAGGCCTCACACTCTCCCTTCGTATCATCCGATTCGGTGTAGCAACCTCGCCCCCTACTGCAAACACTTGGCAGGACCCTACAAAAACCTTTAGACTCAGTGGGGCTTTCCTGGCTAAACAAGTGTAATAATACATTATGTTTATATTCTTTGGTTATTCGTTCCTACCAGCCCACCCCGCAGGGTCCTGTTATTGTTTTATTTTTATTATTTTATTTCCATTCTACGTGACTTTACCGAAAGAACCAAGAAGATGAATCCCTGCAGTCACGAAAGCTTTAAATCGAAACTCTTGACCATTTTCGACATTTAATGTTTCGTCAGCAGTCAGGCTTGCTTGAGCCAATACTGGTTAACTGCCAGATGGGTATAGACAAGGGATCTCTCTGTTCGATACGGGTCCTAGTTTGATGCAAATCTCTGTCATACACGACACAGGATGACTATTCGCGTCGGTGTGAAGAACAAGAAACTGAGACTTGTGTGGACATGATGTCTCCCTCTCCATGTCACCTGCCCTCTCCATCTCCTCTGTCCTCTCCATCTCCTCTGCCCTCTCCACCTCTCCATCTCCCCTGCCCTCTTCATCTCCCTGCCCTCTCCATCTCCCTGCTCTCAATCTCCCCTGCCCCTTAAGTCTCCCCTCTCCATCTCTCCTGCCCTCTCCATCTCCCCTGCCCTCTCCCCCGTCACCTTCCCGCTCATGTAGGCTCAGCTTAGTTTCTCGCTTTCCGAGGGCACACCTCCACGGGCCAGGACCCTAGGTGAGGTCAGGGTCGGTAGTGGGGAAATGGCACAATAAATCGTTGTTTTCCGTGACTATCTGTTTCGGATAGGTGAGGCCATTAACGATTACAGTTGGCATTTTTTTATGTTTGCCTTGTAGTTTTAAACTCGGCTCGGTGTTTAAGTTGTCGAACGATGTCACGGCGTGACAGCATGGGTGCCTCGCCGTGTTGTCACGCCGTCACGCCGTCACACTCTCACATCGTGATGTTGCGCTCTCGCACCATGATGTCAAGCCCTCGCACCGTGATGTCAAGCCCTCGCACCGTGATGTCACGCCGTTGCGCTCTCGCACCGTGATGTCACGCCGTCACGCACTCACACCGTATGTTGCGCGTCGGCAGCACAAGTGTCTCGCTGCTATGATTAGCCGTGAGGTCGTGGCTGGTTCTGTGTTTTGCCGGCCCTAAGGGGGCAGCACATTTAGACACGCGGGCCGCTTAGGCACAGCTCAGGGTCCCGCTCGTGGAAACCGTGGCAGCTAAGCAGCTCAGCCTGAGGCTGAGCCTTGCTCCGGTACAGCTCTGGGTGGTTATGGAAACGGGGCAAGCATTTCCCTCGCGTCGTTACCGCTCCGCGAAGTGCACCGCCTGCCTGTTCTGCTGCGCACAGCGGAGTTTGAAGGCTGCACATAACCCAAGTGCGGTCTTTGAAAGTAAATGGGACCCATAGGTGGTGGAGCATGGTGCTCGAGGCCAAGTTGAGCAGCAGTATGTGTCCTGCATGCGCTTGTCGATTTGCCTCTTGCTTGATGCGTATTGTGGGTACCCGAGACCCCCTTATCTGTAACAGTGACCTTGCAATACATGAAGTTGATGTGCGATAACCATGAATAACTTGTATATTTTTTACGACGTAACTCAGCATTGAGAGGATTATTCATTAACCTTTGTGAGGTGCCTGTGCATCTCACAGCCGGTGTTCGTGTCTGTCACTGAGGGCCCGTGCTTGAGTTCTGGGTAACCAACTAGAGGCAGGGCCAGGTTATTTTATGAAGTAAATTGATGGTTCCAGTTCACTCTCTTAGAAGATGCGTACGGTGGGTAAGAGTACGGGAAACCGTGGAGGTTGATATGTGATGCGTAGCGCACGGTGCAGTACGAGTACGTGGAACCGTGGAGGCTGTCTAAGGCAGTGACGTCGAGGCTCAAGAGAGAATGAGGCACGTAGCTCTGCTGTTGTGGATCCCGAATTGGAAACACGCTTCATTGTGAACCGAAATGCCACTACTTAAACACAATAGAAATTTTGTGAAAAAGGACCAAAAGAATGTTCATTGTATGAATGAACAAAAGGTTGAACGATAATCGTTTTAAATCTTGCTCAACGCCACGCAATGTTCGTGGTGTGTTCCCTATCGTTATGTTATCGCCATCAGCATTTCATTTCCACTGCTGCGGACCCGCCGCCTCCGTCTGATGTGTAGAGATACCTGGCCTCGGTGGCCAAGTGTGTCCCGTGCCATGCACATCCCACAGAGGCCACGGCTTCACACTCACAGACCACTCGTCTAAAACGACAGACAGGGTGCAACTAGTTCCAAGGAGATTACTGTGTGGAATTGCAAATAAGTAGAATAGCAATCGTGTACGGTACATGCGCATATCTGTGTGGCTTGTGTAGTGTGTGTGCGTGTTTGTAGCGCACGATTTGTGTGGAATAACCCGTGTTGTTTTAGTGGGGTGCACATTTGTGTAGCGATGACATCATACAGTATATATGCATGTGTGCATGTGAGGATGTTTGGCACGACGTGTTTGGACGGTGCGACTCTCCGGTCTCCGCACGTTTACGTCGGTGCCCGGTGACTACACCAGCTGTCCCAGGGTGTTCTGCCCGCGAGTGCTTTTCACTTGTGGGGTAACAGGCGGCTGTTTGAGCCAACGCAGGAGAGGTTTGCATCCACTGTTGCACAAGAGGTCAGTGAACGGATTGGTATCAAGCAATAGCCACTATTCACTGCCATAGACAAAGGCAAGACAAATATCCCCTTATAGCCTTAGACTTTTGGGGCAAGTGCTGTTAGCGAGCACCTATGAAGGCCAGCACCACGCCCGGCCGCCTTTATAGACGAAGGCACGCACACACACGTTTGGTAACACTACAAAATCGGTGTGTGAACATGAGCTAAAATGTGTGAGTAACTTGTATGTCCGATGAAGCTGTAAAGTGGGAATAGTGAAGGTATTCAGGGGTGAAACCAAAGGGTGATTGTGGTGGTTGAAGGCTGTTGTGAATAGCATGCGCAGCAGGCGCTTTTCTTATAAAGATGCAAATGCAAGCCTGTGCTGTGCAATGCCAGGAAAGGTCTAACGCCATATTGCGCACGCGTCGAGCACGTTTAAATCTACAAAAGCCACACACAGATACTCGTGATTCATAATCAACGTTTTTGGGTTTAGATCGCGTTATTTATAAATGTGTCGTAACCCTCCACCACCCGACACGGCCAATCAGTAAAAAAGTGTCACGTTGACAAAAGACAATTAGTTCACTGCTTTAGCCCACCGGTGTGTTGAAGCGTGAAACCACAACAATTTGCAATTTGAGTACGACGTTTCGCTGGTAATTGCATCCAGCATCATCGGGCAATTCGCCGGAATGGTGAGGCTCTGCTGTGTCTCCCGTTCTTATATAGAGCAGCAGCAGCAGGGTGACGTCATCATTAACTCATTAACTCATCAGGTGCAAAGATTTGAGGGGGGGGTTATTGTAATTATATACTAGATTAGTAATCAGGCTATTGTTACGATGCGAGTTGTAGATTAGTAATCATTTGGAATGTGTTTTATTGTGATTATGCAACATTAGTAATCAGTTAGTGTTTGTTTCCCTTATAAGGAATTGTAATATATCTTATTTAATAATACGCTTCCAGGCCGCACTAAGCCTGTAGCTGTCTGAGCGATTAAAGTTATTTCTGTTTCTCTCAATTTCAATGGATTCTATAATTAGTCTTTGCCAGTAGTAACTAGTTTTACACAACACTTCAACGTCAAAATCAATTGAGTGTCCCTGTTAGCATGCATGTTCTGCCACTGCCGACAGTTATGTTTGCGATAGTTTAATATTTCTCTGGTGTTCTTTTAGTCTTACACTAACGTTACGCCCTGCTGCTGCTCTATATAAGAACGGGAGACACAGCAGAGCCTCACCATTCTGGCGAATTGCCCGATGATGCTGGATGCAATTACCAGCGAAACGTCGTACTCAAATTGTAAATTGTTGTGGTTTCACGCTTCAACACACCGGTGGGCTAAAGCAGTGAACTAATTGTCTTTTGTCAACGTGACACTTTTTTACTGATTGGCCGTGTCGGGTGGTGGAGGGTTACGACACATTTATAAATAACGCGATCTAAACCCAAAAACGTTGATTATGAATAATATTGGTCGCGAAAGCCTACGTGTTATACTCGTGATTAATGTTATATCCAATCGTCGTTCATTAAAATTGTAACTCACAATGGCTGAGGAACAAGAGACAAGCTGGAATGATGCCAGGTGGTGAGCCAGTGCCAACAATTGCTCTGCAGTTCTCGATATGTTAAGATGTTTTCAGCAAATTAGTGAATGTTTATACGTGGGAGGAAATCGGAGATACTGGAGAAAACCCATGCATGCAAGGGGCAACACTATCCCATAAAGAAGGGACAGATTGTATCGGTCCACACTTTGCTGTACTGCATTCTGCTGGCAAAACCTGGGTATGATACCTCCACGCCCACGAAGGGAGTCTCGCAACATTTTGTTATTTTACCGATCAACCAACCCTCGCCTCCAGTGATGGATTACAGGACACGTGCAGCTTATTCACCAGCACCACCACACAACACCAATCTAGCACTGTCGTGACACAATGACACAGACCATGTTAAACACTGCATGCGCTACTTCCAAGAAGGTTAACTCCCACATTAAGGTCAGGGTTACGTTAGTTCCTCAGCACAAGTCTTGGTCATCTGGGAGAATGAATCCGTAGAAATTGCAAGAAATGTGTGAATTATCATTAATGAAGCGGCGATGTTTTAATTTGAAATCGGTAAAGTAGCAAGGAAGTTTTCTATGAAGTACAGAGAGGGTGGCAGCCCCGACGCACTGCCGCCTCGTCATCACAAGGCCGTACCCGCGCCTGAACTGCTTTTGCATAATTTATTTTTGCCTGCCCACCACAAGCACATATTTAATCACTCCTAATAGGTAGTTTAATTCGAAAAGTGAATACATTTTTACGAGCGACTATAAATCGCTGAAGAGTGAAGGAGACAATGCTTTCTCAGATTTGCGTGTTTACAGTTTGTGTGAGCAGAGGCATCTCTTGTGTGCCTGGGAGGCTGTTTTTTTTTGTTAGGAAATTGAGTCTACGTGGGAATTGGGGAACCGGAAGTTTGTAACCCTCTGAGAGCTGAGACATTGTGGAAATATGACGCCCTTTGAGAGTGACAGGTTTCGGTGTGCGGTTGTTACCCATAAACTTCCGGTGACATGGTGCTATATACGTGCTTTGTTTATGCTAGTGAGGAACGTAATGGTTCCCGTTCAACTGCCCTCTGTATTTACACCCAAGCGTCTACCTTGTTTACTGTTATCTCTTGTGTACAGTACTTTACTCCGCCATCGCTCGACACGCCCGAGTCAAGGGAGCACCTCCCCTCGTCTCTGAAACCTCGTGTGAAGAAGCTAAGCACAGTGAGAGATATCGAAGTTGCCTCTGACTTCACCGAGACAGTGTGGTTGCTTTTTCTCATTTCTCAACGGCACTGCAATGGACGGGTCTTGCTCAATTTGGCATTGAGCTGACGCTCATCTCTCGCTTACAGCCCGGAGCCAGTGGTGGAAATTCCCTAATTCCTGTGGCAGGGCGAATCCCTCCATAGGACAACCACTGTTGACTTCCCCATCAAGTGGTGTTTGTTTTATCGACACTGGAGGGATGATAGATGACGGAGTCATTCCCAAACCGGGATGTGAACTTGAAACCTGCGAACTGCTCGCTCTACCGCAGAGCCTCCAGGTCGGATATTTGGTGGAAAGACTCCTATTATTAGAATTACAATTATTCCTATAAAGCCAGTACCTTACACCTCCAAAACACCAGATTTGTGTAATTTACCTCTTCTCGGAATATCCTGACCAATGCCTCCAACTACATACCAAGTTCAGTAACCCAGCTCTATAAATACTGTCCTTTGTTCCTTTGACTATAATGCCTGATTAGGGTTTCCCAAGCGGGATGTAGATTAACCCTAAAAGTATATATGTATATGATCCTGTGTTTGATGGCTTTCATGATGGTAAGATTTTTGGCGTGACAGCCCATCGCTTTGGCTCTCCAATCTCAATTTATTTGAGGCTCCCTCAGACAGTGGGGTCAATGCCTGTGTGTGCATTGGGAGAAAGTGTCGCCCTCGGTGAGTTTCCCGACCATAGCTTCTCGGTGTTACTTCTTTAATTGGCAGTCGTGAAACTGAAAAGCCTATCGGTTATGTGAATGACCTATGCAGTCATAAAAAAATTACTTGCAGCCTCAACAGTTGATAAACATGTCAACCTTTGGGGGTGGGGAGAAGTTGATCAGGCGCCCTGTCTTCAGTTAAGAGATGCCAGTTTGTAGGTTTAGTCTGTGCTCTCTTGCTGACATTGGTCACTGAATACAACAGCCCTAACACAGCAAGGTTAATACATTCCGAGATATTTTTTTATGTATATTATTTTATAATTGCAATATATCACCGTGAACTAAATGCCAAAGTACACCAGCAAATTTTTTTGTTAAACAAAAGAGTTATAAATGAGTGTGCCGATTATTCCGTAGACGTGAAACCAACGCATTGTTGAGGCTGAGTGATGTCACTGGAAACACAACAGATTTGTTGCACAATGGCTGTGACGCCGCACACAAGTTGCGTGACATGCATGTAATTACAAAGTGTTTAAGTGTTTAACGTTTGTCAACAATAAAGCAAGCACAACGTAGTTCCCCCTTGTGCCTAGAGTGGTGCTTGCGCCGTGATGGTGGTGGTAACGGGTTGATTTAGAACCTTGAGGCGGTTGCAGGAGCTGGTGAAGCAGTGGGGCCAATTGCAGTGCTTCCGTATGCACGTCTGAGGTTTCCAGTTGGTAAAACCAGGCTCTACGCACATTGAGAAAGTTTGGCCAGATTCAAGATCGTTTATTGGGTCGGATCGCTGCGTGAGTAAAATGTCTGTTGTAAACCCTCCTCCACCCGACACAGCCGATTAGTGAAGTTGTGACGTGAGCAACGGCGAGTGTGTTGTAGAGCGATCCACACACATCTCTACTGATGCTCTATCACATCTCATTTTTATGCTGTCGGCATACCCCATTTTCATTGATTTTACCAGAAATTTATTCTGTCACTTATGATTGCAAGTTGTTGCGAGTCATTGACTGCTTTAGTGTTAAAATATGGTGCTGTATTTTTAGGATAGTGTGTTTATAATATCATTTTATGTAGATATCCACATTTATTTAATATTTTTCTTCTGCAGGGTGTGATCTAACAATGACTACAACATCCGAAAGAAGGAAATGCAGTAATGACCCAGATTTCTTCTGCTACATCTGTGGCAGCTTCACTTTGCAGGATCAAAGGCGCAACATCAATACCTTTGTCAAGAAGGTTTATCTTGCCTACTTTAAAGTACGACTTGGAGACCAAGACAAAAATTGGGCTCCTCACAAAGTGTGTAAAACCTGTGTTGAAACTTTGCGATCATGGTCTAAAGGAAAGAATGCTAAGCTGAAGTTTGGTGTGCCAATGGTTTGGAGAGAACCTACAAACCATTTGGATAACTGCTACTTCTGCCTTGTTAATGTGAAAGGTGATAATTGTTTTTTTACCCTTCTATCTGGCAACAAAACTGACACCTTTTTTACAAGGAGTCATGTTTACATAGACCACAATACCTGCAGTCATAATGCAAACAAAAAACATAACTCTGATAATGTGCACTGTCCTTGAAGTTGATTGGTCCACACCCGAGACAGCTTTCCTTAGAGCCTAGTCTCACATGGGTTGGACCAGATGATGCCTTTTGCATGGGGCGGATGTGCCGGTCGACGATGTGTTGCAGTTGCCCCGCTCCGTATGGATGCGCGAGCAGCTGTTGGATGACTCCTCAGGGGCTCCGCAGCGTCAGGCAGAACAGACGCGTGAGGGTTCTGTCAGTGGAAGGTGGTCGATTGGCTTTTCAGGAGGGCCTTTTGATGTGGAGGGATTATATAGTGGACCATTGGCGCATTGTGGTTCGCGTATTGCACGGTGAAAAGTTGTTGTGTGGGGGTCGCTAGCCCCCGAGATCCCTCCCTCGATAATGCTAACGGCCGGGCTAGCATCATCAATCGCCCCCCCGCTGCTAAGCGAACCGCTGCTAAGTTCCTCACCTATGGTGTGGGAGCCGTCGCCCGCGGATTCCCCTCCACCGCGGGTCCGCGTAATGGGCATGGTTAATTACCGATTAGTATTCTGCCCCTCTCTACTACGATACTTCCCTTTCCTAATCGCGCGCCTGCAACCCACGCGGAGCGAACGCACGCACGCCCACACACACGCCGCTCCGCGCACTCCAACTCAACTCACGTTATACTCGCGCACCTGTATCACACACGGAGTGAACACACGCGACACCCACTCTCGCACCGCTCTGCGCAGCGCTCCCCCGAGGCGAGCCGCAGCACCACAGAATCACTGCGTACCCACGCGCAACCCGCGCGCTCAGCTCCGCGCAGCGCTCACTCACGTGGCGAACCACTGTGCACACAGCGCACCCACACGCTCACACTGCACGACAAGATCACGCGAGACCACGCTTCGCTATTAATGATTTATTATATGCCACCTGCGAATTGATGTTGAATCAGTGAGTCGACGAGGCTGGCCTATTCCACTAAACCTGTACCTATTCCCTATTTATCGGCTTACGATACCCTACTTCACCTCCCCACTCACTGTTTGGTGCCCGCGGAGGTTCGCTGCTCTCTGCGCTAACAGCGTACCTCGATGCGTCGCACGGACGTCCGGGTCGCTGGCTGGAACTCCTGCTGGTCCGCTGGCCTGGAGAGAAGGGCGATTTCCCCTCTCCGCTCCTCTATTTATCCTCCCTACCTCAAAGGGGATGCTGCGCTGAACAATGGGCTCGTGCACCCCAAGCCCGCGCACGGCGGTTCCCGGGCGCTGTTGATATGCTAATCAGTGCGCGACGTTGGCGGCGTACATCCTAATTACTCCCTTACCCTTCCTAACAATGGGGCCTGCGCGCTCAAGCGCAATTATCCCAACCCTCAGCCCCTGTGACCCCGCTATTCATGCTGTCCCGTGCCTCCCCTGCTTGCCCCGTCGACCCGTGGGAGTGTGTGTGGGGGGAAATGCGCCTCAACCGCGGTGGCCGAATGCCCCACGCCGCGACCACACCATATTAAGGCCGGCCGCAGCGCCGCGGTGCCACGTAGCACGGGGGGGGGGGTCATCCAATTCCCTGATCGCCGGAAACCGTGAGAATTAATCCCGATAAGGGTCTCTCGGATAAAAACCGGTCGATCAGGTAACCTTCCCTTCCAGCTCTATGGGGGGGGGGGGGGGAATGCGTGCGGGTGTGTGCTTATGTGGGGGGGGTGATGGGGGGCAGTGCAGTGGTGGAAGCCGGGCGGCTCCCTGGCTCGGCAGAGCGGCCCCGTCGTTGTGGCACCACATAGCCCCCCGGGGTGCCAGTCCCCGTCCCGGGTTGACTGGAGCACCTCGCCTGGGTTGCCCCCACGAGGTATCGCCGCGGGGTCCGCGGGATTCGCCCGGCCCTTGTGGCTGGCCTCGGGGGTGGCGGCTCCGTCTCCTGGGGCTCCGGCGGTGGTCTCCTCCTCCATTCCAACGGCTCCCCTCGGCCTCTGGCACCTGCGGGCTGGGGAACAAACTCAGAGGCGGTGGGGTTTAAGGGTCGCCGTCCTCGTCACCCCCGGCCCCGCCCGGGGCCCCTCGGAGCCCGGGGCTCCGTGGGGCCCATATACTGCGCGAGGCCCCCGGGCACGGGGGGTGGGGGGACCCCGGGGTTTCGGGGTACTTGGACGGCGGGGCTCCCCCCCTCGGGGGCTGCTCGCCACGGCTTCAGTCGGCGGATGTTGACCACCATCTCCCGGCCCCTCTCTCCTCCCTGAATCAGCACCGTCCATGGTGAGATCTGCCGTCTCACAATCCAGGGTCCTCGCCAGTAGGTGGTCAGCTTCCCCACCTGTCCGGCACCGACGCGGGGAGTGTACAGCCACACCTCGGAGCCCGCAGTGTAGAAGGGGGGCTCCATACGGGGTCGGGCGCCCTGCTCTTGCCGCTGGTGCGCGGCCTCTCCGTGCGGGTAGGCTCGGCCCCTGGCCCCTCGCAGGGTCTCCAGCAAGTGCTCCACGGGGTGGCTCCCTTCCTCCCGTTGCGGCGGAGGGACACCGAACAGCAGATCTGCGGGCAGGCGAGACTCGCGACCAAAAATCATTAGGAACGGGGTCTGTCCTGTAGAGGTGTGAACGGCGGTGGTGTAGGCGAACAGGGCATAGGGAAGGTGTTCGTCCCAGTCCTGTTGATTCGCGGCCGCCATGCGTTTAAGCTTCCCGGCCAGAGTCTGGTTCATCCTCTCTACCATCCCGTTCGCCTGGGGGTGATACGCCGTGGTTCGGTCCTTCTGGATCCCGAACTCTCTGCACAGCGCCTGAAATAGTTCGGCCTCGAATTCACTACCCTGGTCGGTAATGACTCGTTCGGGGATCCCGCACTTAAGTACGTAGTTTTCCACGAAGGCCCGGGCCACTACGAGGGCTGTTTTATCCGGGATAGCCACCGCCACGGGGTAGCGGGTGAAGTATTCCACCGCTACGAGAATATATCGGTTGCCCCGGTGGGATCGTGGAAAGGGCCCCTGCAGGTCGATTCCGACCAACTGATTCGTCCGACTGACTCGGAACGGCCTCAGGGGTACCTGGTACCTCGCCGGCTTTTGCCCACACTGCTGACAGGCCCGGCAGCCCTGCACCCAGGCGGCCACATCTTGCGCCAATTTAGGCCAGAGATACTGGCGACGCAGAGTCTCCCGGGTGCGCCGTTCCCCATCATGGCCCCCGAGCGGGTGGTCGTGTACCAGTCGTAGTAGTTGGGGTCGCACATGGGCGGGAACGCAGATGCACCCCGGCTGCCCAGCGTCGGCCAGTTCCCTCACCACCCCGTTTTCTACACACAACCGGGCATACAAACCGCTCCAGGGTCCTGGTAGTGCATCCTTCTTCTCTCGCAGTGCCGCCTCCACCGCCGCCAGATCCGGATCTCGCTGCTGGGTCTGTCTCAGCTGCTCGTCGTTTAGGCCCGGGAAGGCGCAGCCGACGTCCTCCTGGATCCGTCCGATCGGGTCCCGAGCCGCGGGTGCCGCGCTTGCCGGGTGGTCGACGGGATCCTCGGTGCCACCTGTGAGGGTCTCTGTGGCGCACACTGCACCCTCTCCCGCTGGGGGGGGGGTCAGTGGCCGCGGCCTCTCGGGGGTCCGTTGCCTGCCGGCAGCGTCCCCCCGTGAAACACGGGCAGGCCTCCTCCGCCCGCGTCTCGGCGTACACCGTGGGTCGCCTCGACAAGGCGTCCGCGTTTGCATGCGTCCGGCCAGCCCGATACTCGATTTGCAGGTTGTACTCCTGCAACTGCGCCAACCACCGGGCCATCTGCCCCCGCAGCTCCTTGAATGTAAGAAGAAACTGCAGAGCATAATGGTCAGTGCGGACGCGACATCTCCTGCCGTCCAAATACGGCCGGAACTGTTTGCATGCGAAAATCACGGCGTACAACTCTTGGCGGGTCACGCAATAGTTCAGCTCGGCCCCACTCAAGGTCCGGCTGGCGTACGCGATGACTCGTTCCGTCCCATCCTGTACCTGTGACAACACCGCGCCCAGCCCGCTGCTGCAGGCGTCGGTGTCCAAAATAAAATCGGTGGTAAAATC